GCTCTGTCCGCCACGTGTGCAGGAGCCGCTTGCTCAGGCTGGGCAAAGGCAGGTGCGGGGAGCGGGCCGGGGTCAGGGAGTCTGCGTGTGGTTGGCCCTGCTGGCAGCTGGCTGGAAAGCCTGGCCTCGTGCAGACTCATGCTGGAAGTGGTGGGTGTGTAGGATTTATGGAGCAGCTAATTACCTTTTCCTCGTTTTGTAATCAAGCTTTCCCAACAGTCAGGGAGAGCTGCTGCTGCCAGGAGCATGCCCTGTGCCAGCAGGGAGACTGTGGAGCGTCCCAGACCTGCAGCTACTCAGCCGGGGAGCTGTGCTGTCGCTGTGCCAGCTCGTCCCTCCCGCTCTGGGCAGAGTGGGCAGCATAACCCGGCAGCCTGACCAGAGATCCTGGCATCTGCATGTGGCTCTGCAGGTAAGGGACACTCTCCCCATGCTCACTGGTGAGGATTCAGCCCTCTCGGGAGGTGTGGGGACCTCAGCAGGCTGTGCTCTCGGCTCCTGCCCACATGGGCCATGCCCAGAGACTGTGGGATGGAGGGTGGGCAGCGGCAGCTGGCAGGTCAAGCTGTGTGCTTTGTGCAGGAGGGTGCCTAGTGCTGCTCAGGAGCTTTCAGCTTGCAACCTGGTTTAAGGGGCTGTGCACAGCAGTGGGGAGCTGGGCAGAGCGCTGCGCCCTCAGCGTGCCACAGCGGGTCCTGGCTGGGCAGCACAGGCAAATGGCTGTGTGGGCTCCTGATGCAGCGTGAACTGCGGCACGGTGGAGAGAGCTCTCCTGTCCAGTCTGGGCATGACTGTCCCTTGTCAGTGAACAAACTGGCTTAAAAGCAAAGGCAGCTCAAGAAACGGGCGCTGACGGGCCAGCTGGGTCAGGCAGAGGCTCTGGAGCAAGCTCAGTCCTATGCATCCAGCACCACCCGCGCAGCTGCAGAGACCCCTTCGAGGCGTGGGCAGCCTTCCCAGAGCATCCCAGTGCCAGCCCCACATACCCCACAGCCTGGGCCCGCTGCGGTGGAAGGGAGAGCAGCCCAGGAGCATCCGCGGGGTGGGAGGCGGCACAGCGGGGAGCGGCTCTTCCTCCTTTGAGGTTAAGCGAAGGCTTTGAGGAAGCAGCTGAGGTTTGCAGATGTTATGTCACAGCTCCACGCGCCTTCGAGGCTTTGCTTCCTGGAGTGCGGCTGCATTTCCAGCCCGTCATCCTTCCCTGGCCTCTTGTGCGCAGAGCACTGGCGTGACGTGGACTTCCGGGCACCCGGCTCCTTCTGGGGT